GAAAAACATCAGCAGCACAGACATTTGCCCTGTGTATGATTTTGCTTGGCTTCTTTAAGGCTTAATGGCAAACAAAAGCTTGCCAGCTTAATGAATCAGTTTCTAGGATCAACCTGCAGTGACAAAGAAAGCTCTTCTGCCAGGAATCCATAGCATCCAAGTAGGAACCAGAACACAAACAAGAGTGTCCACACAGCACCATGGCACTGAAATCCCCCATCCCGTAAGCAGCCCAGCAGGAAGAGGTGCAAGTTAAGGTAGTTACCTTTATATATATTTCTATTACACTTGCATGCATATACGCATGTATCAATAAACAGCATGACTTAAACATATAAAGTAAACAAAAGTGCCAGCGCAGACCTCCTGGCAAGCACAGAACAATCGTGTTATCCATCATGCTTACTGAGTGGTAAGTAGGCTATACTGTAGGCTGATGCAAACTGTAGAAGGAAACCCAAGTGCCAAAAGCCAATTTCAGAACTCAGGTGTAAGCTTTAATGCAGACACTGTTTGGGTCTGGACTCCCAACTTTAAATGTAAAGTCTGTTGGTGTACAGGGTTTGTCATAGGCTTTTGCTATGACATATATCGTGGCATTTTAAAAGTTTTCCTCTCGCAGAAGCAAAATAGCTTCTACTTTTTAAAACCGCTTTTATTACAGTGTGGCCAAGAAAAATCATACAGGCTTAGCATCAGAGTTTGTGATTTCCAACATCTCCAAGTAATGACACTGTAACGTTCTTCAAGGTGCTGTCAGTGATTAGGCTCCGAGATGAAAACTCTCTTCTTTCACAGAAAGGACTCAGTTTCTGGATACAACCGATTTAAATGTACTTTGTATATACAATTAAAAATGACATAAATTGTTGCTTAGCACATGTACTTTGTCAAATGGCAGACAGAGAAATTCAACTGATAATGATGAGAGATTAAAACTCATTTACCTTTCGAAGATTTATGGAATTCTTTCTGAAATCAAAGTTTCCAAAATATTCAAAAAAGTCACTCAACAATACATCTAAGGGAAAGAAAAACAATAGCCATCACTAACATTAAGGAAAAGTTTATTTTCAATACACTTATAAAATAAAAAAGTAAGCTGATTAAGATTTACCTACCAAGTGTTTCTGTATTTTTTGTAGGTTTAATCTTGCTTAAATCACTAACAAATGAGCAATCACATCCTCCAATTACATGCTTGTCTTTTTCACCTGAAACAAAAATCACAGGCATATTTAGAAGTGCTAAACAATAAAACGTATTTAGTAAAATTCAGATAACAGACATAACTGAATTCAATGAAAGCTATCATATTAAGTAAATAAAATTAAGACTTAACAAGTGAACCCTCAGGTTTAAGATTCAACTTGAGTGGTTAAAGATTTAAAAGAAAAAAGCCAATGGACAGGCAAAGGAAAAGAAGCATGAGTAAATGGCATATTTTCAGAAGCCTACAGGAGTAAGCTATAGGACATCTTTGTATCTCTGAAGTTACTTCTTTTGGGTAACAAACCTGATATCTCTGCATACACAGCTTTATTATATACTAAACAGCACAAATATCTGAGGTTAATACCTGTACAAAGGTTTCAAAAAAATCACACTCAAAGTGCCCACTGCCTTTTTCTGAAAAACTTAAAGAAAATCAGGAATATTCTTGTAAAATTTCAGGACAGGTGTTTTATGTTTTAAAATTCTACAGAATTCTGATGGACTGCTTAAAGTGATTTTAAAGCAACTGAACAAAGACCTTTTTCTCCACTCAAAGCTTCCAGGGAAGCATGTCAATAAGCAGAAGGTATGAGCGAGGAATCAAGAACTTGGGGTGTCATTCTCTATGCTTTCATTAGATTTACTGAAGATAATACACCCTGAAAGCTATGTATGAAACAGCTAGAACAGCTTGTTTGTGAAGATGTAAGAATTATTTGCAGATGGCCTGAACATTCTCAAGGATATTACAAATTGTGAGGGAAAAATATACCCTTTCTTTTAAACATTTGGTTTCTATAAAATAATATGCATCATGTCAATCTGCACAAAATCCTTAACAACTGCAGAGATATTTGAGACCTTACAAGTCTTCTGAAAACCGAAATACAAAATAAACAAAAAACAGCCAGCATGGGACCATTGAGCAAATAAATGACTTTGAATTATCTCTAAGTAGAATTTAGTATTGTATTGAAAATTGATTTATTTTGCTTTTAAAAATGCATCTTAAAAAAAAATACAAGTAGAACTTGCATAATCCCTCAAACTTAAGGCATACATAATACGCATTAGTACTTGAGAGCATAAAGAAATTGCTTGGGTTTATTAATCAGAGAAAACAAATGCAAAAAGTCACTTCAATAAACACAGGAAAAGCTGTCCTTACCTGCCAATGCTTTAAGTTGGTCTAGTGTTGGAATGATAGGTGGTGATCTCTTTTGCAGAAAAAACATGACCATCATGGTCAGAGAGAAGTTTGTAATCCAGGTACCAGGAACACTATTTGTAAGTCCATGAACACGGGCCCAACATCGTACACTGAACACTAGTGCTCGTACACGTGAATCAAGACAGCCATAGATGTACAAGAGTTCTGAACTTTTTATAGCAATGCTGAAGAACAAATGAAAAGTAAAAGACATGTAAATAATGACAGAATCGTTAAGTACCAGACGCAGTGTGCGTTGTTCAGTCCTAGAGCACCAGTTATAAGGGAAGAGGATATCCATTAAAAAGAAATATTGAATTTTTACGCATTTAAAAATATAGAAGAGAATGCCTGAAATTGCCCAGGATTAAATACTTGGCAGGTTTCCATAGTAAGAAGGATACAGTCTATCCCAATATATAATAAAATACAACTAGAACTTCTTTACAATTTTAATCCAGAAAGTAATAAAATAATGCACTGAAAAATATATGAAGTGCAGAGACACAATGAAATTTGCAAAACACGTCAATTTGGTAATTTTCAAATGACTAATACTTGGTTTTGCTGAAGAAACAGCTAATGTGGAAAGATAAGGGTTTTCAGAGGGGTCAGTTTTTGATCTGCTTCCTCATAGGGTCATACAAACATTCACGTAGTGTACAAATGGGAATGCAAGAAAAAGCAGAAAATAAAATGGAAGCATGGGGTGAGAGCAAAACCTACTTTGGGGTCAGTTTTAGTCTAAAGTGCTTGTTGAACTACAGATGCAGGTGTTTTTACTTCCAATGTTGCACCGAATTGTTCTAAAAGTCCAGCGTGGCATTTTGGGGAAGTTTACCACATCAAGGTTTTGTAACACCTGGACTTCTAAAATTTCAACTCTGAAGTGCTTCCTTGTGTCTGCACAGGTTTGTTATTACTCCAAATGATAACAAGACAACACACAGAGTCCCAACCAGCCACACCATCAGCAGAGAATTACAAGGAAGTTTGCACAGAACTGCGTGCCGACTTTCACAGTGGCTGCATATACAAAAGTAATTATATTGTAAGACATTTTCTTACTACTGCCTTAACAACTCCTGCATATTCTGAAACAGAACTTTGAGTACTTCAGAAAATTCAGTCTACGATCTGATTGTATCTGATGCAGACAAATCACAAAATCTGCACTGAAAGTTGTATCAAAAGTATTCTGAAAGATAATCACTTGTATTTTACTATTCCCTAACATCAGTGAAAAGGGTTAGCAACTCATTTTTGGTTACCCTTATGCCAGGGCTACGGATTGTATACTGGATTAAGATGGATATTTCTTAACAAAGTAAGTGACAGCAAAAAAAATTCTATGCTTTACTGTCAACCAAATGAGAGCAAGCTGGAAGAGGAAAAATTGATGCAAAGAGAAGTATTTCTAAGAAGCCTGCTCCCTCTATTGGGCACTGCTGAGAAAGGTCCTAAATGACAGTAACAGTTTAGACTCTGTTTTCTGATGCAGTGAGTTAATTCAGCATTCGAGATACCTTGCCAGCAAACAGGTGTATGCAGGCGCTTAGGAAGAAAAGAAGGACACCAAAACAACTAGAAGCCCAATCACTGAAAATTAAAACAATGGAGCTGCTTAAAAAAGCAATCAAAAGAAGGCTGTGCATATACTCGTACACAAAGGGAAGCAATAACTAACAAACATTGCCTTCTTTCAATTCCTTACAAGCTAACCTTATTGCATAGACACGTTTTCAGGTCTTCAGTCGCAGCTAGCAAATATTTCCTATGCTACAGAAAAGTATCTTACGCACATTAAAACCTAAGCTCTAGAAGTCAAAAATATTCTTTTTACGTTTAGAGCCAACATTCACATTTCTTAATAACACAGAAAGGAGTAGTCTAAACAGTACTCATTGAAGGTTTTCAGAACATAAGTACTGTAGTATTTTTCCTAAACTTTTTTAAACCACGTCTCACCTGTTGCTCACTGACAGATCGCACTGGAATCCTGTTGGTTGATGAGAAAATTTCACCAGTGGGCAGCGAGCATTGAGTATCTTCTGTACGCTTACACATCCAGGACCAAAATTATCAAGGCAATCACCAATCACAGAAAGAATTTTCTGAGTTGCTAATCTTTCAGATGGTAATCTTTTCATCTGATACTCCATTTCGAAAGGACCTTTTTTCTAACACAAAATTTTAAAAGTAAACTGTTAGTTCTGGAACCAAAGAGACATTTAAGAATACTTCTGAAAGACTCTACCAATTTGCAAAGGAGTCTGTACCACAACAGACTGAAAGACAAGAATTATTCAAAGTAGCCCACAGAACTTCAAAAAAGTAAAAAATATTCCTTTTTCTATTCTTTTTCAGTGATTCAACTTTTCCAGGTTAATAGTGATCAACTTACTGGAAAGTAACTTGTTCAGATGAGGGTGTAAATACAACTACATCTCACTATCTGCCTAAAAGAAGTAATTCTGGAATTCCTAAGAGAGTATATATGCTCTGACTGAAAAGAGGAACATACAATTAAATTAAAAAGAGGGGCAAAACACAACCAAACCACCGTTAATTTCAAACCACCAGTAATTCCATTTCAAATCCTGGAAGAACAATGCGTTATTAGTGAACCAAGTAGCAGTGTCAAGGAAAAAGTCTTTAATTTAAAAAAAAAAAATTAAAATTTTAGCATGCAAATTACTTAATCCTTCAAAATGAAGGTAAGTTTCTGTAAGACTTAAAATAATCACATCAGACACAGTTTTTCTGACAAATAAAAAAAGTGGAGATGCATTTTGACAACATCAGACGAATTTTCCTGTAGGTCTTTGTATTTTGATTTGTCGTGTTTGTTGTAAATACCTCAATAAAATAACTTCATGCCTATTAAATCTCTGTTCTCTTTATATTCTCTCTCTGTTTCTAAGCCTCAGCTAATTTTGCTTGTTAATCGAATACTTGACACTGACTTAGCCTCCCCCTTGGAATATGTCATGGATGAATGCATACTACACAAACAGCACTGTGCAGTGATTTAACTAGTCCTCTGAGACACAGAGGAAGTTACTTTTGTTGTCATCAGGTTAGTGCAAAGAAAACATGCACTCACAGACAGTGAAACTATTCAGAAGTTACAGACCTTGCAACCTTTCCCGCAAACTCGCTTTAGGTGCTGAAATTCTGAGTTGCTCTGGCAATCATTGAGGTGACTGTTCTGCTCTCCTCTTGGCAACATTTCTCCAGCCAGCACATGTGTTTGAACATACCGGGAAGACATCCCTAATCCCATTCGGCTGCACGGCTGCATGCTACAGCGTGGCTGGCTCAAAGTGAAAGGAGCCTATAACTATTAACACTGAGGTAGGTAACAGGAAAGGAAAAGATGGGAACTCTGATGACATGTTGGTGTACCGGTGTTCAGACCTTTATGTTTGTGATAAAAATCACAATGTGCCTTCCCAGAGAGCAGCTAAGTATCTCTCAGAAGCTGAATGAAGACTTTTTTGTAATGATAAAACAGACACTCTTCATAATTGATAGGACCTTCACATATAGCTTTGGTGCCAGCTGGGGGAGGATGAAGTACTGATACACTCGCCCCAACCCTGCAGTCCTCCCCCTACTCTTGCCATGTTGCTCAGAACAGCAAATGTAGATAAACTATTACTTTGATGTAAATTGACATCGTACTCTAAGCAAGAAGCATAACTGTTTTAATGCAAAAAACGTCACTCTAAAAATATCACAGAACCCTGTTTTAAGTCATTCACCAATGTCCCTAATGTCTTATCTGTGGTCAAACACTATACTGATAATCCACTTTTGTTAAAGAATGCTCCCACTTTTGCTGCTTTTAAATTCACAATCAGTTTGCCCTCAGACTCAAAAAATGTTATGCATGTATGTATGTAAATAGGTGCTGAAATGCTGGTACCATTGCTGGTACCTCCTGAAAGTCTGCAATAGTCCAGATATTTAGTGTACTAAATAGCACAAAAAAAGAGTGAATTTTCAATCTTCAAAAGCTTAAGCCCATTGCATTTTTTTTCTTTAAGGGAAAAAAACCTAGTCTTTCCCAAACTATCTGTCACCATACAAACAAAAAAGAAGTTTTCAAAACACCAGAATCACTTATTAAATTACCCATTCAGAAAACATGAAGAATACCAACTTCTCCACAGGGCATTTCTGATCTAACTCTCCCTTCTTCCTATCCTGATTCTCATCTCTCTCTTTTGTATTTCATTCTCCATTCTGAAAGGATATTTACACTGTCCACAGTCAAAAAGCAGCAAGAGATAACATCCTTCCAAAAATGCCTTGTCTAGTCCATTCCCATTCTTTATGTCTACACGCACAAGGACTGACACACGACCTATTCTAAATAATCATTATGACTTGAAGCTGCCCAAATACCAACACTAAACATGTGAACTTGGTTACATAGAGCAGATTTCCAAATCGTAGTATGGGTAAAGACATGATTAAGATGAAATTTAGTATCTGCATTGAAAAAGGCAATGCTGTTGACTGAATACTGCTTACTGGCAGTCTTGTAACCCTCCAGCTTCTTGAGGTAGTGAAGCAAATTCTGTGCTTTGGTCAGCTAATTCAAGTGAGTGTATTTCAATTTCAAGCCTCTACACGTGCTTAGTAATCAGCACTTGTCTTGGTGCTTGCTGTTGTACTATCAATGGGGCAAGCAAATAATTATGAACTATCTTATGGAAAGTCTGACAACTAAAATATCTGCATTACTGATCTGGCTCAGTTTCCATTTTGCTCCTGGGTCCTGGTCCCCAAAATATCTACAGTTCACACATACCAGCTTATCCTCGGGTTCCTTTCAGGAGTAAGCCAACTAATTCCTTCACAATGAAAATCAGGTGCTGTTAACATGATAATTTTCCCTGGACAGACAATACAAATATGAACATGTGTGCCACCTGCAACTATTCACCAATACTATCCCAGGTCTTCAACTTTCACACCTCCACACACTCTTATGTGTATGTGTGTGTACATATATATGCACCCCAGTACATAATTCAGTAACTTTTCCGTAGCATGAAGTCAACTCTTTAAACTAAGCAAAAGAACCTGACCACCTTCCCAAAATGCACATGCACACACGCACACAAAATTATTATGCTTTAGAACATGGGAGACCCTAAAAATCAAATCCAATCTTTGACTGCATGGATGAAGCCCAGCAGCTCCAGAGAAGAAAACACAACAGTGGGATGGGAAGGTCTGACATCTGAATCATTTTTTGGAGGATGAGGGTTTTTTTCACAGTGAAATTCACCCTAACAGTACAAAGTCTAAGTAAACACCAACTCATTTTCTTCCTATTGCAAGAAAGATCTCTTCCATGTCACATCCAGCTTTTGAAAGTCTTCAAATCCAAACATTCAAATAAACTTGTTCACAGTCTATAGTATGAACTAATGTAAAACCTAAGTATAAATAAACTGATTCCTGTGCGTGAAACAGCAAGTGAGCTGCTCCGTTGAAGAAATCCTACAGACTGAAGATGCAGAGCATAATCTTACCATTTTTGTAGCATGCTTTCGTTCATCATGGAAGTCCAGAAACATGTCCACATCACATCCCAATTTGCCAAAGGTGTTGACTGAAGAGCCAAATGGCTTTACCGTGCTGTCTGGAAAATATGCCCGTGCGAAATCCCGAACCAGAGAACAGGCCAGAAATCGAAGCTTGATATTTTCCTCTGTAAGCTGATACTCATTCAGTAGAATGTACATCTGATTGCTTATCTAGTTAAGAAAATAAACACTGTAAAAATACAATGACCCATCATCTTCCATCTATTAACATATATTTTCATCTACTTAATATCATTGCAATTAGATTTTTTTAATCTCAAGCAGGTTTATTTCATACAGAAAAAATTATTTTGACAATTAAAATGACTAATTAATCTATTTGTTTCAATGAAGGAGAACCATTCACAGAAAATTCTAACAGAGGCTCCTTTTTTTTAATACAAATAAATTGCTTTATAAGTTGCACATGACCACTTGCAAATCTCAAATGGACAGGGGTCATTTTTAATTGAGAGAGATCCAGAAACCTCTACTTACACTGTCTGCATGACAAAGCTTTTGAATAAGCTCTTTCACTGGAATGTGAGACTGAGGAGAGAGGTGAACTGGTGTCTCTTCAGCAGCTTGACTCACTGGGTTTTTCAGTGTGAAAGTAAAAAGTCTAGATTTAAATGGGACAACATGATGGTCTGCAGCACTTGGGAGTCCAACAGCATCCTGCAATGAGGCTATACTGTTCTTTTCCGAAAATTCTATTAAAGCATGGATACCCTAAAACATTGAGAATGGAAATAGACAGGGTTAGATAAATGCATACAAGCCCTGAACTGATCGCACTGATATTCAGTTGTTCCAGGGAGTACTGAGCCAGTTTGACATGACAGTCCTGAAGCTGAATGCTAGGTTCTGCACCTCAACACTTTGTAGACACTTTTTCACAAGACATCAAAAATATTTAAGATATGCTATTCTTGGCAGTAAGCACTAAACCTAAAAGTTCTAAAATCTATTTATCTTCACAACTGTAATACTCCAGAAACATAAAAATGTTAGCTCTATTGTTAGAACAATGAATAGCGCTATGTAAATGTTTCAAAGATTTAGTGCAAAACAGGTTGCTAGCTATCACTTAGAGGTGTTGCTTAGCTGGCTTATGAATAAAAATCTGTTGCTCAGCAACTTGTAAACATTAACAACGATAAAAGCTTATTTAATATACTACTTATATATAATTTGCTTAACTTGCATGGATGCACCCTTGACCAAATGCTTGTATTTCTTTTTGTCTAAGTCTAGATTTTAGTTTACATTGTTAATTACTTACACGACTTTCAAAAAAGAAATGACTCTTAATGTTTCCATGACTGGATAAATACTGCAATAATTTTTTTTCATTAAGTTTTGGTGGGCACTTAATTAAAACAGTCCGTTCTGCTTGCTCCAATCGTTCTGTTTGAACCTCAGTGAATGTTTTCTTTCTGGTATTGACTTCAGCATCTGCAAGAAGAAATGAACATCAAAGCTTTTATATGCAAACAGAAAGATTTAAAACTGATTTTAGTACACTTAATCACTTCCTCTGGATTGAACAACTGAACAAAGGTTTGTCCTGGCTCTCTAAGAGGGTTACAGCAAAAGAGAAAACAATCAAGAATGAATGAAAGACACAAACATAAGCATATTTCTCTCACAAATGCATACATTTGTAAGAACAAGGAATAGGAAACATAGGAAGAAAACAATACTGACTTCCCTTGATACCACAGGACGATTCACGGTATAAGGAATCTTTGCTCTTCTTTGATTTGCTGTTCACCATCAAAAAGCTCAGCACAGTCAGACTCTACACACAAGTCTGGAAATACCAGCTAGGGGATGATGCAGAGCTAGACCTTTGGCAAGCTGCACTGAAATTATAATCTCTCTCAGCTGCCACAAAACCAGCACTTTCACCTTCGGAACAATTCAACACTTGCTTATTTTTACAATTCATCACCTTCTTTTACAGTAAACTCCCACTCAAAATTTTCATTTTATACTATACTTTCATCTACTCTACTACAATAAACCCACAGATCAGTCATATCTCACCACACTACTGGCAATCTGTTGTTGCTGACAGCCTACAGAATTAACACGGAAATGAGACATGCTGGAACATCCAGAAACACAGAAACTTTTTTCTTGATTGCATACAGGCAAAGGGACCACATCCCGAATTTGAAATCATAACCACTTCCCTGCATAACTCAAACTAATCCATTGATCACATCACATTATTAGAGCCTGTGAAGCTGCTACCTGTTAATATTGCCATTTGTAATTCAGACTGGGAAGCTGGAAAACATGCAGTTATTTCCCTGCAGCTACTATCTGCCACAGAAAGATTCAACCGAGAGCTCTTTAGTCTATGTTTTGATTTTGATGAACCCACAGGATATTGTTGCCTCAAGAAAATCTTAACTATCATCTAATGACACTTGTTAATATTTAATATTATTTTTAAAAAATCTTTTATGTTACAAGTTTGAGCTCATAGACAGGCTTGTAAATAAAAAGTAGTTGTTTCAATAGCTTAGTTTTATATTAGCATTTTTCATCAGAAGACCAAAGAAGCACTTTATGAAGATGATAAATATCCCATTTTCCGTAGGAGCAGAGAAGTGTGAAGTGACTGAGATGAAGAAAGGACAAGTCCCATGGACGAGTGATACAATCAGGAGATGAATCCAGATCTTGTCACTCCCACAGCTCTGTGCATTAGGCTATATGATTCTTGCCTGATTTACCACCTATACAGGCGTAGTTACTATAGCAGACAATGTGCTCTGACATCTCTTTCCGCCACTGCACAGTTCGAGCGTAGCACAACTGCAGATGACCCCATCCAAATGGTGGCTGTAAGCATTTTAAATGCATGAGAGGCAGTCCCCCAGTTCCATACAACATTTCCAGTTAATGCCAGAGTTTCACAACTATTTTAAACAGGTATACACCAGCACTGCTGCTGGAAGAAACAGCCCCATCTTCCACATGGTGTTTGTACATATCCTACTGCTGCCCTCTGCATGCCAACGCTAACCCAGGCATGTAGCAAATACACAGTCATGTAGCAAACCAGGTGAGACTAATGATCAAACTTATACACCAAAATAAGGATGATTACCTGAAATCTGGAATTGCTCCATATTTGTTAGTACAAAGATAGGAACAGCGAGACTGTGGGTTTTGTGAAACTGTGATAATACAGCCTGATCTCCTCCTCTCTTTACGGAAAGCTTGCTACCTAGTGTTTGTCGAGCTCTGAAACGTGAACATGAACAGAAGCACAGGCCTCAGGCTCCCAAGCGCGTTAACGGCAAGTTACATGGTTCGCCCAAGTTACAGCACATCAATGAGGCACAGTCCTCACGAGTTATGGGGCTTGTACTTTGTCCTAAAGACATGGCAACAATCAATCGTTTCATATGTGTTTCTAAGGGGGTCTCTCGGGAATAACCACCATCACTGCATTCACCTCCAGCTGATATCGACGTTTACTAAACCAAGTCCTAGACGACGACAGCGGATTCTGCCCTCCCGGACCGCACCCGGCCGCTGGGGGAAAGCACAGGCCGACCGCCCCCCCGCTCCGGGCCCCGAGGAGCTCCTCACCCCCGGGACACCGGTAATGCTCAGGCGCCTCCCTCGGAACCGAACCGCCCGCCGCAAACACGACCGGCGGTCGCGCCCCTCCCCCCCCCCTCGCCC